TAAACATATCCTTTGACGGATGACTCTCACAGGTGAACTGCTCCACCCAACAATCAGTTTTGCTGATTGACATTAATGACTTTTTAACGATCTCGGTGTGAATTGAAATGGGGGATCCTCTGCTCTCAGCAAATTTGGGATTCAAGCAGTCAGCCAGACTGCAGTGTATTTCTTTTTCAAAGACACACACACACACACCCTCCCTCCCTCTCTCCCTCTCTCTGTCGTGCATATGTGTGTGTGTGTGTGTGTGGTGGTATTCCTGCAATTACAGGGTGGGCAGGGAATGAGGCCGAGGGAGAGCCTGCACCCATACAGGCAAGATATAATAGCAGAGCTTTACCACCAGTATGCAGCTGCCAAGGTTTCAAAATATCAGCCACTATTTAGTCCCTCCATAGACCCACTTTTTTATGATATGGTCTCATATATGTTGTCTGTGTATTTTAAATAGCATGGCTTTTACCTTGTGCATGTTTTGATGGTATGAATAGTTGTTAGCGCAGACATTTGTAAACGCAGCTTGAACGGACGGTTTTTTAAAGTGAGGAAAGCTTAGTGTCTCGATTAACGGTTTTTCCATACGAAATGCGGAAATTTGTGGGGTTTAATGACTGAGGAGATTTTTATTTTCACTGCTCTGTGTTTCTCTTGGAATATGTTTTTTTTTTTTTTTTTTTTTTTTTGCACAGCTCTCATTCTGTAGCCTGTAATTTATTCAATGTTTTCCAGTGATCTTCATGGAAACGTGTTCTTTTGTTTTGTTTTCAGAGCACTATGATTTCTTGCACTAGGCTGAGATGATTTTGCTGGTATTCACTAACTAAATTTGACTTTTAAATATAAAGCCAGATCAGTCTCAAAAATAATAAATTTACAAAATATAATTCAAATATCCACAACACAGTTCACATTTACAAAATCCAATTCATAAGTTCAAAACATGATTGTTAAATACACAAATCCAATTCGCAAATGCATGACTCTTTTAATTATTTTCTTTCCAGTTTAGTACTGATTAGTTCAAGAGTTCATACTTAGATATTGCTTGACAACTGTAAGCAGGTTTGGCATGCTGTCCCGGGAGAGAACCCTGAGCTCGGAGATAGTTTAACCCAGGGCTCCCGCCAGGTCCATAGAGCATGTGAGCACATTGACCCAGAGACTGTTTAGATGCATGTCACTGATGAGAAGGTGATGGATGTTTACTGTATGATGACCAAAATGGCCTTAAACACCCAGCAGCCACAAGACGTCAACATTACGTCAGATTGAAGTTGTACCCCAATTTCGTGGGATCATTGCATTTTGTTTAGAAATGAAAATCGTGTTGACGTCGGAACTCAACATCAAGCAGACGTCAGTGTTCAATGTCCAACTTAAAATCAACCAAATATCAACATCTAATGATGTTACAGCTTGATGTTGTGTGGACGCTACCACTATGACGTCTATTAGATTTTGGTGTCATACCTGACTAATAAATGTCAGTATTTGACATCAGTATGATGTTGGTTTAAGATGTTGGCACGACGTTGGATTTTAGTCACTTTCTAACACAACCTAAAATTAACCACATATCAACATCATTTGACTTCGTTATTGGACATCAAAATAATGTTGGCCTTAGACGATGGCTGGATTTTGAATTTTGGTCAACTGACATCACAATCTAAATCGAACCTAATATTAACTTCTTATGACGTCTTATTACATTTACACACATCCACAAATGACATGTAAATACTTTAATTATCTGTTGTAATATTTACAACAGATAATTTTACTTTACTTGCTCTACATTTTTATGCAAGTAATGGTACTTTTACTTGAGCATGATTTTTCAGTACTTTCCACCATAGCCTAAAGCGCATGTTGGGACTGTTGGGAAACCGGAGCACCCAGAGGAAACCCACACGAACATAGGGAGAATATGCAAACTCCTCACAGAAATGGGACTCAAATCATTGACCTTCATTTCATTCAATCATTTTTCCTGCTTACAATGGACACTATAAGAATCTGACAGCATTTTCTATGTTTCGAAATATATTAACATTGATATTAATAAACGTTCCATCAGCAGCAAATTGTGTATTACAGTGATTCCTGAAGGATTATGTAAAGACTTGATTCTCATGATGCTGAAAATACAGCTCTGAATCATGGGATTTCCTTTTAAAATACCTTGATTAAAAAACTGTTATTTTAGAAGGTTAACTCTTCCACTATAGAAGAGAACTGCCAGATCATCAAATTTTGTTTAGATGTATCAGCAAATAACACCATTGTTCTCAAACGAATAAACATGCAAAGGGCACAGACGCCGTTTAAAGAGGCCTATTAAACAGTAAGAAAATCTCCCAAATTGGCTGTTGGTGTTTTTCATCTTGTTCCAGCGGCATTTACTTGACAAGGTGCTCAGACGGGTGAAAGGAGAGGACAGTGGGACGTCCCGCGGTGTGACGCAGGGGTCTGTATGGGGCTCATTATGAATGTGTGGCACAGATGAAGAGGAAGGCCTCCCGCATGAACCATAATAAAGGCTGGGGAAAACACGAGTCCTCATTATCTGCCTTACTGGATCTCCCACTACTGCACTTCTGTTAGGAGCTTTCAGTGGTGCTCCTGGTAGAGGTGATGATGTCAGCAAGATCAGACAGGTGGAAATGGTTTAGTGCAGAGAGTCTTGTTTGAGAGGTTGCACTTGAATGTTTTGTATTATTTATGTAGCCAATTGATATAATTTTTGACTGTTGAGTGTTGATATACTACTAGTCTTTGCATTGGTTTTGCATGTTGTGTTCTTATGCTTGTAGGTGGCAAGTAAGCCATTGACCTTTTAGGAGCAATTCAGTTTATTTAGTCAAACACTGATTCATTCACAAATGAAGCACCAGTACTATGTTTTTTCCTTGGCATTATTTGTAGTTGTATTTTCATTGGCAGAGCAAAACATCAGACAAATTTAATGCTGAAATCAAAAGTTACACGGGTTTTGCATGCAAAAGTTAAGTAAGTCCTCATGCTAGCTTACAAAAATATTCATGTTGAGCATTTTACCCTTTTAAATTGTGTCTTCTTTGCATAAAAAACTAAAATGGTGGCACTTTTTTAGTTCATATTGGAAACAAAAGTAAAATGCTGGAACAGAAAAAATATCTGAGGTGAACTAATGTTCTTGGCTGGGCTTGGTTAAAGATAGATGCTATATTAAAGCCATAGTATAGTAAAAAATATATATTGTGCAAGTCAATGGCTGTCTTTTCTCAGCATTATTTAGTGTATCTTCCTTTGTGTTTGGAAACAGATGTGGAGGATGAGTAATTTATGGCAGAATGTTCATTTCGTGGTGAACATCTCTTCTCCTTTTAAATATATGTTCAAAATGTTAACCTAAGGATTATTAATAAACACAAATCCAGCCAGTGTTATAATCTCTATAAATTTGGACTGTCAAATTTGGGTCATATACAAAAAAAGAGTCAAATTTAAATATTTTATTTATTTATTTATTTATTATTTTTGTATTTATTATTTAATCAATTAGATTTTTGTATTATTATATGTATTATTTTTTATTTGCATTTATTTATTAATTTACTAACTAAAGTTGACTTTTGAGATGTAACCGTGGCTCAGTTGTTAGCACTGTCACCTCAAAGCAAGAAAATCTGTGGTTCGAGTCCCGGCTGGGTGTTTCTGTGTGGAGTTTGCATGTTTTCCTCGGGTTTCCTCTGTGTGCTCCGGTTTCCCTTACAGTCCAAAGAAATGCACTATAGGTGAATTGAATAAACTAAATTGTCCGTAGTGTATGTGTGTGAAGTGTGTATGGATGTTTCCCAGTACTGGGTTGCAGCTGGAAGGGCACCCTTAATTAATTCTGTTTTTCTTTTTCTGTTTTTCTGACATTTATTTTCACTGTGATCTTCATTGGCTTTCATTGCATGAACATTTTTATCGAGTGTAATATACGGTAAAATAAAAGCAGCCGTGGTTGCCAGAACTTAAAGTATACACTGTAAAATATAAAGTTACAATGTAACACACTGTCGATGCGGTGGCGCGGTAGGTATTGCTGTCATCTCACAACAAGGTCGCTGGTTAGAATCTCGAATGGGTCAGTTGGTGTTTCTGTGTGGAGTTTGCATGTTCTCCCTGCGTTCGCGCGGGTTTCCTCTGGGTGCTCCGGTTTCCCCCACAGTCCAAAGACTTGTGGTACAGGTGAATTGGGTAAGCTAAATTGACTGTAGTGTATGAGTGTGAATAAGTGTGTATGGATGTTTCCCAGAGATGGGTTGCGGCTGGAATGGCATCCGCTACATAAAACATATTCTGGATAAGTTGACGGCTTATTCTGCTGTTGCGACCCCAGATTAATAAAGGTATTTTATTTTACAGTCACAAACTGCTGTTTACAGTACATTGCTGTTACATAAAACAGATATATTGTAAAAATGTTTACAGTAATTTACTTTAAAAATAGCAGGTGTAAGTGTAAATTCCTTTACAGTAAACTCCTGTGTGATGTTTATGTATTGCTTAAACTGCAACCTGCACTGTTAAAAAACTATTTTCAAATGTCTGCATTTCCAGAACCCCACAAATTTTTTATTTATTTATTTATTTATTTTTTGTTAATGAACACCCAAAAAGTGTACAAAATTCAGTTTTTACGTTCCTATTCAAGAAGGTATTCTCTTTGCAAACAGTCAGCTTGATTTTAATGCATTTTTTAAAACTAAAAGCAACATATGGACAGCGGTGCATGTGTGATTCTGTTATGTAGCATGAGGATAAACGTTCTTTTTTAGTCCATAAATGATTCCAGACAAGTCTAAAAACAGCATGTATGCACTAAAGTTCAGCTGTAAAAAGACTGAGTCTTAATGCATCCTATAATTATCATTTGCAGGAACCACACATTTTGATCTTAAGCTTGTCTGATCTGAGATATGAGTTCTGTATATGAATTGTTGTATGGATGTGTATCTGTGCAGGTGTGTGGTCAAACCAGGTGGTGGTTCCGGCACAGGTCACTTCAGTTCTGGGGAAGAACGTGACTCTTAGCTGCCGGATGGAGATGAGCTCGAACCTCAGTCTGACCCAGAGCTCCTGGGAGCGTCACTTGCCCTCCGGCATCATCACTCTGGCCGTCTTCAACCCTGTGTATGGGACATCTGTTGCTGATGAGTACAGCAGACGGGTGCACTTCCTCAAGCCCTCGGTACACGATGTGTCCATTGTCCTGCAGGGAGTGGGCTTTGCCGACATTGGGATGTACACCTGTAAAATGGTCACATTTGAACTCGGAAACATGCAGGCCTCCACAAATGTTGACGTTATGGGTGAGTACAGGATTGTGATGTAACAGTCGGTGCACAAATGAACTGAAATGTCTGTCTGTTTGTCTGTCCATTCATCTATTCATCCATCTGTATAAGATATGATTGTGATGTAACAGTCGATGCTTTATTGAACTGAATTGTCTATCTATCTATCTATCTATCTATCTATCTATCTATCTATCTATCTATCTATCTGTCTGTCTGTCTGTCTGTCTGTCTGTCTGTCTGTCTGTCTGTCTGTCTGTCTGTCTGTCTGTCTGTCTGTCTGTCTGTCTGTCTGTCTGTCTGTCGGTCTGTATGTCTATCTGTCTGTCTGTCTGTCTATATATCTGTCTATCTTTAAGTCTTTCCGTTCGTCTGTCCATCTAGGCTGGAAGATGTGCGATAAAATCATTTAACTCTTTGGGGTCTAAGGGGATTTTGGAGCCTTTGGATGTGCCCTGACATTTGTGCTTATTTATTCTACTTTTAACCCTTGGCTAATTGATTAAATTCAGCACAAACTGGGATATAAGGTGTTTTAGGGAAATAACAGTCACTGAAACTAAGTCAAAAATGCCTATTAAATATTTCTGATTAAGACCTTTGAAAAATCTATCTTGTTGCCTAGACAGTATTCATCTATACTATGCATTTATGTACTCATTCATTTTTCGCAGTTTTCTAACCTTTTCTAAAAACTGCATTTATTCGTTTATTCATTTATTAGGGCTGTAACGATACACCAAACCCACGATTCGGTTCGTATCACGATTTTTGACCCACGATTCGATTCGTATCACGATTTTTTATTTTATTTTTTTCGTGTGGGGTGGGGAAAAAAAAGATTTTTAAAACTATTTTTAATTAAATAACATTTGAAAAATCTTTATAAACTAAACATCAAAGAGCAATATTAACTATGCAAATTATTAACAATATAAATAGCCATATATAAAATAAATAAATAGCCAAAGCTATATCACTTCTGTTTTCTTTGTAACAAGATACTGTTGAAAAACCAAACTAAACTCCATTGTTTAGATGGTTCAAGCATGTTGAAAATTATTTTTCAATCAAGTTCTCTTGCCAAGAAAAAGTAAATTAAATAGCTAGGGATGCTCATTTCGTTAATTTTGCTAACCGACAACCGCCGCTCATTAATCGGTTATTAACGGTTAACTGGTCAGATTACTATTAATTTTATATTAAACAAATTGACGTGACTATTTTGTGTATGACACATTAAATATTGCATTTTAAAATACTGATTTATTTTATATATTAATAGCGGAACAGAACAACAGAGCATCTTCACGCACCTGCAGTGTTTAGCACAGAAGAGCAGAATAATCTAAATAAAATGAATAAAATAAATAGGACTGCCCTAAATTATTTTCACTTAAATAATTAATTTATATTACAAAACGAAAATACTGACTGATTCTTTTTAATAACCGGCATAGGCTTTTTTTTCCAATCATATGTTTATTTCTTCCGTCAAATAAAAATCGCAGACTTCCTCAAATTGCTTGCTCCACGGAAAATATGCATTTATTTAATGCCCCGCTGTTATTATTATAATCACAAAACCTTTTACATTTTAATAAAAAATCCTTATTTTAAAGATTATGTCCTGATAAAGCCTATGGTTTCCTCTCTCTCCCTCGCGGTTCAAGTGCGCGCGCTGCCTGATGAAAAGACAACAACACGCGCGCATATGTAGACTTTTTGTAAACAGTTTGTTTAAATATGATATTGCATTAATCTGCGTACATGCTTTAAGCTGTAAAATAAAAAGTAAAGCCTATTTGTTGCGTTTATTACGCAGATCCAGGTCAACATAAGCGCTGGTTTAGTATCAACAGGTCTGTATCAAACAGCAATATTCTTCTTCCATTTTGCTTCTTTAGCAAATGTGTCAGTAGGCACGGGTTATACGTTATCATCCCGCAAATTAAGTATGCCTTGCAGTTAAACAAGTGGCCGAAAACGAGGCGCACCTTACTGCCTTTATGTTGACAAGGAAAAAAGAAGAGGCGCGGTCCTCTTATGAAACGACTGAATCAGCAGGGTATCGATTGTGCATAAGTGTTGCTGTCTGTGTTGTTACAATTGTAATATTTAATACTATTGTGATATTCAAGATTTGTATATTCATACAGCTCTGGATAACTTAAAACAACGATTAGACCTTCAGAGCGGTGTTAATGCGTCCTGAAGTAAAGCGAAACGGCTATAAACTCCAGCAAGATAGAGTGATTATATGCAGAGCCATATACCTTTATCTCTAAATAAAGTAGGCTATAACTATAGAAACTGTGTTTATTTTAACTGAAAGCTTCGTCGTGTTTTCTGACCTCACGCACCTGTCAGTCAGCACTCCCAAAGGTTCAAACAGAAAGCGCACAGCACGGTTACAGAAAAGTTTGCGCTGTTACCTGACATCTGGTGAACGCCCATCCCTCTCTGCGCAGCCACATTAACAGTGTGAGCAAATCATCGTATATGCGCTGAAAATCCGGCCGCTTTGACAGCATTGGCAATGTTTCTGGCGTTGTCGGTTGTCAAGCGGGGTTAAGTTGGTTTTGTTTTTGATATTCTTGACACATTCAGACGGCCCCTTACTAAGAGCTCCGTGCGAGCTCTCCCGGCTAAATATTGCGAGGGCTTAAACGGAGCAGTGCTTGTAATGTCGAACGAAAAAAAGTGTTAATTAGCTCAACTTTTGCAGGCACACGTGACGTTATTGGAAAGGTATCACGGGGTGGGTGTGTCGCGATTCTTCCTTATTACACCGCGACACAGGATCGTAGATCTGAGTGTCGCGATTTCGATTTTATATCGTGTATCGTTACAGCCCTATCATTTATGTATATTTTTCATTTATAATTTAGTAATTTTTTGCTAATTTGATAAAAAAAATAATCTTTTATTTATAATTTTGCTAATTTTTGCAAATTTGTTAAAAAAATTTTAATCTTTTTTTTTCCCCTGAAAATGTCTTCTTAATTGAACAACTTTATGAATGATTTACAGACCTGTGTATGTTGTAGGTTCAGTTCCAATATGCACTGCAATATTGTTTACTGTTGTGCACAGTTCTACCCCAAGGGAGTTTGTTTGTTGTAAATAAGGGTGTATTTATACTTTTGCACAATGCTGTGAATAAATAGGAATTGCAAAAAGCATCTGCAGTAAAACATGTGAAACATACTGTACATAGTCAGTGTCCTGTACTCAAATACCTCTCTAAATGCAGTGATGTCCTGAATAGTACTTGAGCATTTTCAGGAAGTGTGACCAAAATCTGATTTTTTGCATTGAAAAAAACTACAGAGTAAACTGTCAAAATGAAAACATGACAAAGCCATTTGACTATCTTATTCATAAACAATGGTGTCAGGACTTTTCATCTTGATGGCAATGACACTTTCATTGACATCAATACTTGCTTTTGAGGAATGAGCTCTCCATTTTGAGCATGTGACACACTTTTGCAGGCTATCAACTAGGTTTTGCAGTTTGTACTAATTGTTTTTAGAAATGCATTAACTGTTGTGCAAATGTAAATAATGTTGTGAGAAATGCACCAAAGTGATTGAGAAAAACTGTAACTGTGGGCGGCACTGTGGCTCAGTGGTTCACGCAGTTGCCTCACAGCAAGAAGGTTGCTGGTTTGAGTCCCGGCTGGGTCGGGTGCTCCGGTTTCCCCCACAATCCAAAGACATGTGCTCTTGGTGAATTGAATACGCTAAATTGTCCGTACTGTAATATCTATGGATGTTTCCCAGTGCTGGGTGCAGCTGGTAGGGCATCCACTGCATAAAACATATGCTGGATAAGTTGGCGGTTCATTCTGCTGTGGAGACTGCTGATAAATAAAGGGACAAAGCTGAAGAAAAATGAATTAATGCATTTAAATTTATATCTTTCTGTCTTTTTTATCTATTTATCCTTCTCTGTCTTTCTAGCTTCCTGTTTACTTCTTTGTTTATTAACTTTTTAATACTGTAACTAGCTATATTAATGCATTACATATTTTTAAATCCATTACATATAGTATTATTGCATGTGTTTTTGCATTTATTTACGCAAGACGGATAGAAAAGATTTAATAACATTCCAAAAATGTTCTGTTGACAACAAGACTGGAATTATAGGGAAGTCACGATTTAGAAACTTGTGTTGGAAAGGCTTATTTTAGTGCATTGTAATTATAGAAAGGGATGGAAACACCCTTCTTACAGCCCCTTTTTTTCTGCTGGAGACAAATGAAGAGTTGTCAAATGCTTTAGAAAAAAAACAGAAATGACAAAAATATCTGTCACACACTGGCATGATAGTACATTCCTTCTGCTATTTTTTTTTTTTTTGCGGGGCGCCAATTTCCCCCCTTGTTTGTTTCCTGTGTTTTTTCACGGCCATAATCTTACTAGTAATCTTTTTTTCTTATTACAATTGATTTAAATGTTAAAGTACAAGCACTATTTCTCAGAAAATAAGTGAGAAAGTTGCTAAACCCCCTAAAACTATAAAAGTCAGTGGCCTTGTCAGCTGCTTTAAATTTAAGAGTTGTTTTTTTTTTCACACAAACTCAAAGCCGCAATCCCTATTCTTGTAAATTGAACAGTGATGAATCATTGCAGAAATTTTCTATGGCCGTGTGAATTTTTACAATAAAATACATCAGATGCGGCATGCAAGCTAGGCGGTATAATTTGTACACACAGTTCATTCTCTTCCTTTTTAAATGTAATTACTTTGCTCTCACTTGAAGTCTATTATGAATACAGAAATTGTTTGAGGAACAGCGGTTTTGGCGACAGCCAAACTCAGAGCAGAGCAAACTCAAGACTCAGAGCAGATCTGTGTTTTAAATGACAGAAAATATGATGTGAAATGTGTTTGGCAGTTTCAATTAGATTGAAACGCTTTAAAATGCAATTAAATTAGATGAAAATTATACTTTTTTAACCTAATGATTGGATTTAACCTTTTTTGGCCCAATGTTGGGCTAA